GCTTCAACTCAAGAGACATCAAATGAACGAAAGAATAGGAGCTAATTGATAAGTGAGATAACTGTGCTTAAGGTATAAGATTGAAATATTGAATGCTGTACCTGTCAAATGAACAGATGAAAAGGAAATTTCCTCGAATGCTACTTATATGTTCCGTACATCATTCTGTCGGAAGAAAAAGAGAAAATGAATTCGCCACCGATGTACGGAAGTATGAAACATCAACCAGCTCTAGAAAACTTTTATATGAAAGTTCATATATAACAGTGGACAAAAAAAAATATTTTCCATCAAAGATCAAGAGGGCCAAAAATCCTCCATCATCGGGATGAGAAGGAAAATCTAATTCTTGTGCTCCATCGTCGTTGTCACATCTGGATCGACTGAAAAGATAACGATTAATTCGAGGAAGAGGGAACAGAGACTCACGATGAGCTTCCAAGTCCTTAGACTTAAGCGAGATACTGGCAGCTACCAGCTCAGTCCTCGTTTATCCTCCATCAAACAGTAGTAATGTGAAAACACTAACACCAGCTCCCCTTTCACTATCCCTTCTCTCTGATCAGTCTTAACACCTGCAAATGCTCGTTCACATTATGAAATTGCAACAAAAGTGAAGACGTGCTTACTACTACAAAACGGTGGTTTGGTCTAGGCTCCTGCCCCTTTTTCTACAGACCAGCCTTTTCCTCCGTTGATTTGATCCTCCACCAATTAGTAACAGATTACTCTCCGTTTGTAAATCATGAAAGAGCAAAGAAGCTCATTCTCAATCTTTTTCCTTACCTGCTACTCATCCACTTGAAGAGCTCCTAACAGCACAAGAAAGCAGTGAACACATCTGAATCCACTGAAATGATAACGATTGGATTAAGGAACATAGCGTTGCGACGTACGATCGACTTCCAAGTTCTGTAAACTGATAGGGCAGCCATCAACATATTCCTCGTTGATGTAATCCTCCATGAAAGAGCAACAGTTTCTCCTCCGGCTCATACATCTAGAGAGACAAAACTGCATTCAATAGTCGATCTTACCTGCTACTCATTTACTTGGTTGAACAGGTCCGGGACAAGGGAAATATCGTCTAATAGCTAGGAGCGTCCTCAACAACGACTTGGAAGTCAAATATGAAAACACTAACAACAGCTTCCTTTTCACTATCCTTTTCCCCAGATTTGTCTTGACAGCTACAAATGCTCGTTCAGATTATCGAATTGCAATGAAACTGATGAAGTGCTCACTACTAGAACACGGCAATTTGGTCTAGGCTCCTGCCCCTTTGCCAACAGACCAGCACTGGGAGGTATGATAAAAGGGAATCCTCTTTCTCCGTTGATTTGATCCTCGACCAATCAGTAACATACTACTCTGATCTGAAAAGGCGAAGATTTCTTTTTTTTTCATTTTTCACCCTCTGATCTTACCTGTTGCTAACACACTTCGAGAGATTCCAACAGGACAAGGAAAAATTCAAAACATCTGAATCGACTGAAAAAAGAAAATCAGAGAAAAATAACATTAAGATGTACGAGTAACTCCCAAGGCTCCTCAACTGAACGTAATAATGACAGCTATCAATACATTAGTCGTTGATGTCATCTTGCACCACGCCGTATCAGATAGTCTCCAGCTAGTCTGAAAACACAGGAATGCCTCCAGCTCTTTTTGTTTACAAGTAACAATGGTTCCAACCAGCTTTTTACACAAGAGAACAAACAACATTTAAAAATTTATTTCAAAGGCATAGAAATCTTCGAATTGGGCATGCCAGACATGGCTCCCCAACAGTCAACCCTGGAATAGTTTGTCTCCAGACAACGAGGGAACATTTCGACATCCAATTCATAACAAATATTATTCAAATTGATAACAACTAAACAAGGAGAAGCTTAAATTTGAGCTGAAAAGGAAAAAAAATTTAAAATTCTAAAGTTGTGGTAATTGGTCTCGACACGATTAGGTTTTCTGAAAGTTCACAAATGGGGTTAAGCAAGGTGGCCTCTCTCGGAACAGAACAAGGAAAATTAAAAAAGAAAGACATAAACTGAACTGAACTGAATTCCATTACCGTTGATCAAAGAAAAACGAATTTTCAGTGATCAATCCAGTGCATAAGTTCTACGCATCTCCTCTTGCGGGAGATCAAAACTGCGGTCAGGGAAACGATTTTCCGAGTCAAACCCTTCACTCACAACACTTGAAAATTACTTATTCACTGTGAACCTCTGGGTTCGAACTTCTATGATATGTCATCAACATATGATGACGACCGAGTGTCATGATTTGAAGCCTTTCTGTTCAGTTCATGCAGAAGGAGTTCGATTAAATGATTCCGAGTTAGTTCCATCCGTGGACTTAGTGATGATTTGTCTACGTACCTGATTGGACTTCTGAGAACTCCAACAACAGAGCGAGAAACAGTACTTTCTATTCATTATCTCTAGATGAACAGAAAGGATCATGTACAAAAGGGACTTTTATTTCCACTTTTATTATTTCAATGGCGTACTGTGATTTGTCAGGGCTAGTCGCAGTGTTGCTTAGAGCAAGTTTTCCTGCCAATCGTCTTCTATCCTTCAAAGTCGAGACAACCCATTATCAGCTTCTTCACTTTCGCTCATGATTTATTTGACAATACCTTAAGAGGAGACAATCACAATCTCACTAAGACAACGATTTATAAAGACAAAATTCCAATTAACACGATTTCCACTCGCTCTATTAACAAATCCGGAAAATACGCAAATTGGCGGAAATTTTGTACTACTCTTATCGTGTCGTGAATCCCGTAA